TTGTAGACAGTGAAACAAGAGATCCATTGGACGTAGAAGTAAAACAGTTAAAAGAAACCAATTCAATGGTAGAAGAATTTATGTTGTTAGCTAACGTAGAAGTTGCCAAAAAGATACACTCAGATTTCCCAGAATTCGCTGTTTTAAGACGTCATCCTAAGCCACCACCTTCAAACTTTGAGTCTCTTATTAAAGCTGCTGCACATCTGGTATAATCATATTTTCATCCTTTTAAATATTTTTCTTTTTACATGTTTATTTTAATATGTTTTAGGGAGTGGAATTAAATGTGGACACCAGCAGAGACTTGGCAAATTCATTAGATAAAGCAGTTAAACTGGATAATCCATTTTTCAATACTATGCTTCGTATTTTGGCCACCCGGTGTATGTTACAAGCCGTGTATTTTGCTAGTGGCACAAAAACCTATGATGAATTTTTGCATTATGGATTGGCTGCTCCCATATATACTCACTTTACATCTCCAATTAGAAGGTGAGCACCCAGTAAAAAACATTTATGATAAAATTTGTTGTAATTCATATATTAACCTAACCAGACATATTTTTTACTACACATTTTTTTAACTAAAAAGTGAAACTAGTTTCCCATTACTAGTTTGCTTGCCAAGTACTCTTATTACCATAGGCGGTACTAGACCCTCTTGGCAGGGGGGGGGGGGGGCAGAAAATAGTTAAAACTATATTTTATATATTTTACTTAAATAGTCCAAAAATAAGATTCTCATCTATCTCAGTGCCAGCATACTACACTACTATACTAGGTTATCACTATTAAAATCTATTTTTTTAAAGTTAGGAAATCGATAATTCAAGGAATTATATATTAGATGCAATAATAAGGTACGGTCCACAGGAGGGGCAGTTGCATACTCTGCCTCTCCCGTAGTACCGCCTATGCTTATTACCAAACACTCCAGAAATTTGTGTATTAAAAGGAAGTCAGCACACCATTTGTTTTCTCTTTGATCCACATGCAACATAGAAAATGTATGTTTCACTAAACCGTCTCTGTGTTATTACATTTATTATTAGAATAAATTCACTCATTATCAAACTGTAGGTTGAGAACATTACGTGTGTCGGATGTTCCTGTACCTATGTTGTGTATTTTATGATATTTTAATTTGTATGTAAGTTATGAACATGTAAATTGTTACAATTTTAAAATGCTTATAAATTATTTAAAAATTAGAATATTGTAAAAAAGCCAAAGTAAGGTCGCAGGTAATGTTCTTAACTTAAAGTTTGATATTAGGTGAATTAATTCTTATATTAAAAATAACAACACAGAGTTGGTTCTGACCACAAATATAAATTTGCCATGTTGAGGGTGAGTCAGAGAAAATCAATGGTGTGCTGACATTCTCTTAAACGTATTGATGATTAATACATTTTTTAAATATATTCATTAGTTTATGTATGTGGCCATTTCTTTTACTTGTGTCACATTTACAAATAATCGTTTGGAAGTCCACTAGTAACAAATAGTTATACAAGTATGAGAGTCATTAAAGTTAAAATTCGGGGATAAAAAATTATCTACAAAAAATGTACATTCCATTTATTTTTTGACAGTGAAAAAATTTGTTGCTTGTTAATATCCATTATATGAATCCTATACCCAACACTTTATATTCAAATACAGCAAAATTGTGGATATTTAAACTCAAAGTTTTAGTTTTAAAATTTAAATAAAAAATTCACAACTTTCACACAATAATCATTGTTTTGTATACAATATCTACAAAAAAAAATTGTTTTGACCATGCAATCTTTATTGAATACTAAAGTCACAACATTGTCATAACCAGGATTTTTTTTTTTTTTGGGGGGGGGGGGGGGGCTTAACTCTTTAAATTATTGTTTCAACGGCATAGCAAATACCCAATAGCATGGCCAAGTACACTAGTCTTGGAAATGCGGCTTAACTCAAGTGCAACATCATATTTGAATATTAATACTCATATTATACTGTAGAACAAACTGTTTACAGAAAATAGACTAAGGAACACTACTAATTGTTTTTATTTTCAGATATGCCGATGTGATGGTTCATAGACTTTTGGCTGTATCTGTTGCAGTAGATAGCACTACACCTGAAATGCTTGACAAACGCAAAATTGAAGCACTGTGCCAAACTTTGAATACCAGAACCCGTATGTCTGCTTATGCTGAACGAGCATCAGTTGCTTTAAATACTCACGTAAATCAATTATTTTATAATAATTTAATAAACTGAATAATAAATAAATGAAACAATTTTTTTATTAGATATTTTTCCGTGGAAAAATCAGAGATGAAGAAGGTTACATATTGTATGTTAGAAAAAATGCTTTACAAATACTCTTACCAAAATATGGTTTGGAGGGAACTCTTTTCTTGTCACCTCGTAAAGGGCAATTGCAAGCAGCCACATTCACTTATAATGAAGAGGCAAGTTAAATATTTAAACTTTTATTTAAAAACCAAATGCAAAATAATAAAACAATTTACATTTGTTTTATTTAAACATATTTCTTATTTATAATTAGGAGCAAACTCAGAGGTGTGGGGAAATAGTTTTTCGAACTTTTGATCCAGTAAGCATTCAGTTAAGTCTTGACAGCAGCAATGTTCAACATGAAAGAATTGTTTTGAAGCTGGTCAAACCTGAAATACCTAATTTCAGTGTTCCATCAATAACTGCAAGTACAGTTGCTGCACAACAGCCACAGAAGAACCCTCATGAACCGTGTGATTCTCTATGTGAACCACAACTTAAAAAAGCCAAAATTTAAAAATTTAAAAATATTGTTTTATTTTAGAAAGAGTATCTACATGAATGTTTTCCATAATCTATTTGAAGTTCTTTAATTGCTACTGAATTGTTATTAAATTATTCTTACTTACATAAAGTGAAAATCATATTCAATTTTTTTTTATTAATATTAACTAGGTGCTATAGGTTTTTTGACACACTTTAAACATATGGCAATACCTAATTGTGATTATATTTTAAAAGTTGTATGTTATATAGGTCATATTACGAATTATTAAAATATCATGCAGGTAACTTTCATTAAAAAAAATTGTAATACTTTTGAAAATGGTTTCTATTCACACTGTTAAACTGTTTTATCTTGTATATAATTGTAAATGAATGAGTATGTTAAATCAACTTATATGATATTGCATAATTTTAACAATTTTTCAAAAATTAAGATAGACAATAAACTATTTGGTGTTTTTATAATTGTTTGGATTTCAATAAAATAAAACAAAATTAAACTTTTTTTACTAATATATTTTATTTATCACCTATGTCTAATCAAATAAATAGTGTATAAAAGAGCAGGGAAGACTTGCTTTGCTTCTTCTTGAAGTTGTTAAAAATGTACAGTGGTCCTTTTTAACAAATTACCCAATGTGAGTTGTACCTATATTGTGTAATGTGTATTTTAATTTATAGTAGCCTACCTATACTATATTATCATACTTTAAATGTAATTTTACGATTTTTCAAAATAAAAATGATACAATGAAGGTAAAGAACGTGCTGGCGTAATGGTGTACCTAATTCTTCCAGACAAATTATTATCAAAGCATATTTTCTTCCATACAGTTGTATTAGCTTTTCATAACAGTTCAAGTCTTCAGTGTTCACTTTCGATACTTGTTAATTATTTCCATACAATAATATCCACAGATATTAAAGATTTTCAATATCCACGACATATACCAATGTGTCTTGTCCCAAATTTGGTAAATTGTGAGTGTGCGTTAAAAAAAAACAAATGAATTATATTTTTTTGAACACCATTAGATATAAGTTCTATTTATTTCGATGTAAAATGTGTGGACTTGAACTATAGCGGATAGGTATGTTCATTGCGCGATGTACTATGTAGAGAAAATGTCTTCTTTACACCTTGGTTAGGTTGAACCATTGTTAATTATATTAAAAGATTATAAAATCGTAAGGAGTATATTGTACATAAAATAACGCATTTTGTTGACAGTTGTATTTGACAGGGGGGCATTTGGCACCCGCCACTTGGATTCAACACTGATCGATAGTCGATACGAATCGGTTAGGTTTCGAGCACACAAGAAGTTACACTTAATAGTTACGTAACTACTTGCTCTTGCTGTGTGTTTACTAGCGATACCTACCTACTTAACGACCAGAATTTTTCTTCTTGAAATGTTGGTTAGGTTATTGTATGGTTAGGCCTCTTGCTGTCTTGCTTGTATAGTTATAGTATAGGAACAACACGCGTCAAAGGGGGGTAGGAGTGTAGGACGTATATGTATACATTATATGAGATAATTTGTAAATTTATTTATGCGATTTTTCCTACGCAAGTCACAAAACGTCCCACGGACGCACTGTTATTATCATTAAAATACGACCGCCATCGGGACAAAGCCGGCTCTGCCGTTCTCTATGGAAACGAAATATTTCGCCATCACTCTTCGTGTTTTTTTCTTAAGAGAACGGTAGGTTATTATTTTTCGGCATACGACTCTATTATTCGTTGGTCGTTGTAATTATTTTATTTTATACATTTATGCGTTTACCTGTCCGTTAGATACAGAAGTTTTCGTCCGTGTACTCCGCTCCACCCGTGGGTGGACCTCTCAGCTATAATATTTATATATTTCGGTAAGCAAATCAATGAATCATGTAACGATTTTGAACAATACCTACATTGTAATTTAGATATAGGTTCTACTATTTCGTTACCCTAACAGCAACAACACGTATCTGCAAATTTTTTTTTTTTTTTTATGTTATCAAAATATTTAGAATCTCTTTGCGCACATGTTTCATTGACCATTTTTCCCGTAAACAAACTGATAACCTCAAAAAATAGATTTTAGTGACAACACGTATCTGAATTTGATATGTGATAACACGTATGTACAAGATTTACAGTAGTGTTTTGTGTTACGGAAGTTTGACAGTTGCCGTCTACTTAAACACCAGGTAATTATTATTTAAGTTATTTTAAAGTCATAAATGATCATTTATTTACTATAAAATCAATCAAACATAACATTTAAAGGAAGATCTACGTTAATAATTGACATTTTGTTTGTGTTTTCACATACGTGCTGTTACAGATTTAGACATTTTCAAATAGTGTCAGTTACGTGATATTTCCGTTGGAATTTGATCAATGCTGATTTCTTAAAAAGTAAGTTAATATTCTATACTTAAATTATTAATGTGTAATTTGTAAAGATATAACATCAATATCTATATTTTAATTAAATGATTAAATAGTGTACTAATTAACAAGAGTATTATAATAATATATTATGATACAACAAAATTATTATGATAGAATAAAAATATTAAAAATGTGAAGAAATTTATCAATTTGATACTCAGTATTCAAAAGATTTTTGTGTGCTAAGTGTTTTATGTATTTTGTATAGGTTATTATGTTATTTCATTGGTTTTTTTTTATAGTTGAAATGGCAAAACAACGGCTCAATCATATTTTGAACTTGGCTCTTCTAAACTCTAATGAGGAACAAGAACGTCCTGACTCACCTCAATTTAACAAAGTAAATGATATAACTAACATAATTTTAAATGCAGATGTTGTGTTTTCAAACTCTTATGAGGAATTAGATAGACCTTCAACAAGTCACAATACACCTGTTAATGAAACTATTAACCTTGATAATACTTTAAATAACGAATATAATTTGTTGGAGTATAATATAGAATCATTTGAAAAAATATCAGATTTAGAAGATACTANTATAATATTTATATATTTCGGTAAGCAAATCAATGAATCATGTAACGATTTTGAACAATACCTACATTGTAATTTAGATATAGGTTCTACTATTTACTCAACGGTACTACCTGAGTTTATTATTATTAAAAAGGAAATAGCTTCCTAATCACATCATAATATCGTTGAAAACGAAACTGAAGACCTACAGATATTATATATTCCGAGCATGCTCACCAACTATTTTCCTCAATAATGCAGTTATTTAAAATCTGATTTTTGAAATTTTTAAATATACTTAGGACCAGGGACCCAGCCACCCCCAGAAATAGTATTTCCCAAATTTTTTTATAAGTCTACAGATCCTGGTACTGCTACTATATTTTAAATTACATTTTGGGGTGCACAAACTAAGATGTACTATATGGTACTGTCATAGTGGACAGTGATTCCAATATTATAATTTTACATTAACAAAAAATCGTGCCCCCCCCCTATTTTTTCGAATTCTTGAAAAATTTTGTACTACATAAAGAATGCCCATTAGAGATACATATATCTGTTTTTCAATAGAAAAAAGTTAGGGTTTTTCAACGATAAATTATTTAGTGAATAATTTTTCTGAAAAAATTTAAGGTATCAGAATAAAATTTGTCCGAGTAGATTTTGAGTTAATTAACTTTGTGTTCTAAGGATAAAAGATCCATAATAATAGTGGGATTTCTTAATTTTGTCCCAAATGACCTTTCTCGGTAAATTGGGTCCTGGAAAAAAAAGGTAGTAGATAAGATAGGTCCCAGAAAAAAATGTTGAGTTGTAACGGGTTTATAAGATAAAGGGACTTTGGTGATTTGAAAACTTAAATCATAATTATTAATAAATGGCCCAATGGCCAATACATACTTTTTCTAACGTTCCTATATTATGTCTATTTTATATTTCTGTAAAACCATTTTTAAAGACAATGATCTTTAGTACAAACATTTTAATAACTAAGAAACTCCTCATTTGAATTTTGAGTTAGGTACCTATCTGCACCAAACTTTTGATAAAAATTATCCACTAAATAATTTGCAGTAAAAAAGGAAGGTTCTTATTTAAAAACAAAAGTTTATATCACCACAGGACACTCATTAAGAGGACCTCGTATCCCCGCGGGCGACCCCGGGTACCCGCACGTGTTGTTTTCGTCTTACAAGCGTACAAATGGCAATTTTTGGTACACTAGTTTCAACAGTGTACTGTTAGTTTTGATATAAGATTGAATTGACTTATTATAAAATTTAAATTTAAAACTATTATCTAGGGCCCTGGCAGGATTTTTTTGATATTATTATTTTTAAGTAAGTTATATATAATCATTTAAAAATGTACAGTTTCAAAAAGGTCATAACTTATTTAAAAATAATAATATCAATTAAATCTGTGTGGGTCCAAGATAGCAATCTTACCTTTAAATTGTATAATAGGTCAATTCACTCTAATATCAAAAACAGTACACTATTGAAACTGTTCAAAGCATTGCTATGTCGTACCTATAGGTACGTGTGTAAGATGCATACGTACAACACATTCGGGTACGGAGCCTTCTTAAGTAGTACGATAAAATTTAAAAATTTTCTTCGAGTTCATTCAAAAATTCCAAAAATTAGAAATTGAATGAATTCATTATTGAAGGAAAAACTAAAGGTGAACATGCATGGTGAATCACACTGAAACACTATACTATAAAATGTAACAGTTGTGAAATAATGTTAGTTTTAATTAGTATTTAAATATTTTTTGTATGTATAAAATATTCACCTAGACGCTTGCTCTACAAGCACTGCAGTATAACATTTTTTATTTTTTATTTCTAGTACAGTAAATAGAAAATGTAAAATTCATTAAATATATGTTTTGAAAAATTCAAAATAGTAAATTTGTAAATCTAATTTTTGGATACATTTTGATGGTAATACGTTAATTTACGTATGTAGTTTACTTTTTTTTAAATATCAGTATTTTTTGGAGTTTATTAATTTGAAACGTAATAACTTTTGTTAAAATAATTTTTTGGGAATTTCTGGACAAAAGTATTATACTTAAATTATTTATTTCCCATACAATTTTGTAGGTCAATTATATTATCTGCTGTTTAAAATATATATATACATCACAAATATGTTTAAAATTTGTCCAGTGGCTATAGCTAGCGAATTAATTGATTTTGAGACGGTTGTTCTGCAGTTTCTGCATGATGCAGACATGTAGTATTGGTTTCGGACTATCTTGATCTATCTGATTATATTTCAATATTTTATTTTATTTTTCTTACTCCTACTTATTACTTAAAGGATTAACTCTGAGAAGATGTAAATTTTCAGAAAAAAATGCAGTTTTTTCAACGTTATGTAGATTTTCTTCACGAAATGTCCGAATTTTTACACACACTAGTTCAATAAAAAACACGTGTCTAGTGTCCTTTTTTGTAATGGTGTTTTTATTTTTCATTTATAAATAATTATTTATGCTTATAACTGCATCATATTAAAAATTTCAATGTTCATTTAAAATAAAACACATAGGTAATGTCCCGTGATACAATTCTAGTAATTATTGATAACCTGCTGCAGTTTGGGTATTGCGAGTATAACGTATTTAAATTCAATAATTAAGTAATAATTATAATATTAATCAGTTAATAAAAGTAGATTTCATTATTGATATTAGTATTTAGGTGCATGGGAATTTTGTCATAACTCATTGTTGTACTTACTTATCAGTTAACTCTATCAGTCAATAACTCACGAATCAAATAATAACCAAGTATAGGTATGTAGGTAGATATACTTTCAATTTACATACGTATAGGTGCACGAAAAACCAGTTTTCTATGTAAATACCGGATAATTTACATATACAATTAGATCACCAGTTTTGTTTTTAAATTTTAATACACAAATTTTCGAACAGATGAGAAGTTGATAATTTTTTGAATAGGTACTTTTGAACACGTTATTCCCGTCGAACGCACTGTTATTGATTATAAAGTAGGCATACATTATAGATAGGTACTATACTTACTATAATATTTCCTATACTATAATATAATATATTAACTATTTAAGATTCATCTACAACCAGTGGTGTAGATTTAACATTAGTCAATACTCACAGATTTTTTTCTTTGTTTAATGTTCCCCCCAATAGCCTACAGGAATTTAATTTCAGCATGAAATAAAAAACATTTAAATAAGTAGGTGCATCCTTGTGTTGCTACCTATATATACCTAAAGGCATTTGATTTTTTTATATTCAATGAATAATGTAGATCCAATTCAATTTTAAAAATCAAAAAAAATTGAATACATTTTTCAAATGTTAAACCCGAATACAATTTATATAAATCAATAAGTTCCAATCTATGGAACAATTAAAATAAATCTATTCGTGTTGAAATAAAAACAGTTTATTGCAAATTCTAATTCATAAAATGATTAAAATGAACATTTTTTAGGTAACCAGGTAACAATTTGAAATAGTCAAGCATATTATGCTAAGATTACTATGTATAGTTACTCAGCATTGAATGAACCACTTACATTTCTGTGTGACGTGTGTACGTTAATAAACCACTCTGCATATTTTAGACACTTTTGGGCTGATCGCATATGATGTAACACTGACCTGAGTAACCTGTCAGTGTCATCTGTTCTATTCGTACAATAAAGTATGAGTTTTTTGGCGATCAAGAAATTTTTCTCTATCAACAGAAAGAAGAAAACTGTCAACATTGGAGAGGAACTCAAACGTTCTCTAATCAAAAACTTGGAAATCTTTAGGCATGTACCAAATGAGACCGTCAATCATATCAATGACGTCAAGTCGACACTGACCGCAATTTTATTATTATCCGTGCACGACCGGAGTTCGCTAGACTACAAATTATTCGACCAAAAATTAAAGTCTCTCGTGGAATACTTTGAGCAAGATGTGCTTTTACGAGAATACGTGAATCGCGTTTATTCCAAGCAAGTATCATTATTTAAGTATTATAATCATAAAAATAAATATTAAGTATTATCTTGATATAATCGTAAATTATATACCTATATACATTATACTAACACTAGTTAGGTACTACATAACAATATAATATACATACGAATATACGATAATATATAATAGGTAACTATACATATTTTATCCTCGAACCTATATTGGCACGCGCGAATCCGATCGCCGTCTTGTTTAATAAATTATTACGAAATTTATCCGATTTGTTATAAATCTGTATATGTAGGTAGTTATCTCGTTTTAATTCTTTCTTTTTTTGCTTACGCGTGTTTCGAAGTGCAATTAAATTTTCGAACGATTTCATTAACGGTATACAAACTTTATTTTATTTAGATAATTGTATTTATTACCATGCGATAGTTGTTGGCACGCGCCCAGACAGTTTTTATAGTGGTTATACACGCATTAGATGACATATTTTGTTTGCTTTAACATTTTTCTTTTCCCCGCTGAACACTTTAAACATAGCAATAACTAATAGCCATAGCAGACTAATATTATATGGTGGGCGATAAAAATATTTTTTAATTTACGTGCTTTAAGATACAATAATTATTGTTGTTTTACAGGGATCAGCAAGCTCAGTATAATAAAGTCGTTAAAGAACTATTTCAGACTTGTGAGTTATTAAGTTCCCAACTAAGAAACATGTTATTTTTTAACGACAGAAACTCAAGGATCGCCGAAATGACAGCTGAGATCGCCCAGTCGTCAAAACAGTTAAAAGAAAAAAGTAATTTTTCGCATAATTAGCTTGTGGCTATAACATTTAAATGTTTTGACTATTTTATTTAAAAGTTAAAATTCTACATCCAATTCATGTATGGTTAGTCTAGTGGCGTATCTAGGAGGGATGGGTAAGGTTTAAGGGGGTTTACCCCCCCCCCCCGAAATGTTATCGAAATCTAAAAAAAACTATTAATAGATACTTAGGTTCCTATTGAATAATTTTAAATGAATAATTTTATACCTATTATAATCGATGAATTGAAAATTGATCGGTGCGGGGCCACTGGGTAACAACTAACAGTATACACTATACAGCCTATATATTCCGCAGTGATACTCAATTTACTTATAATGCAGTGAACTACGAATGAGCACGTTTCTTTTTTGTTTCTCAACATTGCCAAATTTTTTCTAAGAAATAATTTGTAATGGTAATGTATGACTTTATAAGTTACCGTCTGCATGTAAGTGTGTTATCCATTTTTCGTGTTCATGTTATAATGTATTAATATAATTATATTACAATACTTTGCCATTTGATGTTTAAAGGTACTTCCTATTTTTTATTTATGTATGCTTTTGCCTGTTAGTATATTATGCCAATTTTAAATTTTTTTAAATTGTAGTTATAAATTACATAATATACGTATTAATTGCGTATACGAACACATATTGAGTAATGTCATTATTTTCTTGAAATAATTGAGAATCTTGTGACTTTAAATGCAATACTTAGTTAATAGACATAGACACATAGTAACTTGTAAACAGTAACAACTAATCTAGTAACTTACGACTTGCCCATTACAAATTGTACATCAAAAATATAAAGACAAATATTTTTCATAAACTGATATAAAGTCTGACTTGTGACTGTCTAAATATGATGATAAAAATCAGATTCCGTATTAGATATGTAAATCATATGACAACGTTGTACTTAATTTTATGCTTAATCGTTTTAGTTTTTATTGTATTGGCGGTGTTCTTTGTGAAATGTTAAGTGTGCTCAATCGTTTCATAGTATTTTTATGATATTATAAATACATTATAAATTATAAATCCAGTTTTCTTTAACAAAGTTCAACGGAGACACGCAGGATTAGATATAAATAGGAACTAAAACTTTTGGCTTAGGTACTCGTTAATCGTAGTATCATAATTCGTAGCCCTAGAACCGTATCACCGTAACAAGTATTAAATTGTATATTGTATACGCACCCGACACCCATATTGTTCAACATTGAATCTAAATTTAATTGTTTTCGTGTTTTTTGTGCTTACACTGAACAGATGAAAAAATCTGCGCGGAATTAGACTTGGCGATTAAAAATCGCATGATACGCAAGTGGTCTATATTAAAAACTTCAACTGACAAACAATCACTTGAGTCATTTTTGAGCGAATTAACCGTAAGTTTCTGTTAAATAATTTTACACCGAAAACATATGATTATTATTTATTAAGGAAAATAGTCACTTTTTTTAGGTATTTTATGCGCGAATGCAATTTATAGGTAGGTACCTACATATTACTTTCAGATATTTTTATTTTGAAATCTAGACTGTAACCTACGTAGACAAACGACGAAACCAAATAGAACAACATTATATTTTAACCACAGGGACGTGTTTAAAAAATATATATATTTAGTAGGTATCTACGCAGTACGCATAATTATACAAATAACGAGATCGATGGAGAGATAGTTATCGTAATCAACGAAAATACTGAAATAAGATAATTATAATATATTTTTGGTTTATAAAAGACAAGACAATAAATTATAAAAACAATTTATCTTAGTCGAGAATGTTATAACTATAAACGATAAAAATGGTCATATAGCCATATAGGTACGTATATTTACCTATACATAGTATTAAACCTATTATTTTCGTCATCGAGATGTAGTTACCAGCCGAAGATGGATGAAAATAGATAAATATCTATTTTGTGATGACATCTTGATGTGTTGTTTTCGACTATCCGTGGTTTAGGCGTATTTTAAATAGGTTCAATTATTGACAATGACGTAAAACAAAGAATATAACAATAGGTATATTTTATTCTGTTCAATGACGTGATATTCATATTTCTCATACATATTATTATTCCGGACAAACTGGCAAAAACCATGAAAATTTAGTCTCTATTTTATTCAATTGAAATTTTTAATTTTAAAATTTAAATACGTTTATTTGGTTATTGATTCTCAGGTTTTAGATAATATTATCTTATTATTTTCCTATAGCTATTAATTGTATATGAAATCCTCGCAGAGTCCCTTGATTTATATCGAACTCGAAAATATTATATTCTATGAATAGAATGGAATGGATGTACCCACCCATGATATGTTGGTACTCACCTATCATGCATTTTCGATGAAACATATGAATATATGATATCACGACTTTTTTCACGTTTAAGTTTTATCGTAACACTAGTAGACCCACATCAAAGAGGTGACTTTCTATATATCCAATATACATTACAGGGCGTTTATGGAGAATAATAGAATATTTAGATTGTGTAATTTTTTATAATTTCATTGAAAACTGTCAAATCCTCCAGCATAATACATATACTTACACTTATGAATATTATACATTCGGAAATAAAATTAAACAACGCAATACTGTGTATACAAGTATAATTTACTACACTCTAATCTGTACCTATACGATTTATCTATATCACACATAACACAAATACATAATATAATAAATAATATGCTAATGGCCATAGCAGCTAGGCTTAAGGACCAAAAAAATAAAAAATAAATATAATACACTTAATATAATGCTTGTGACTGTGTCTATCGAAGGGCATGAAAACAGTGATGATGTTGAGGCATCAACAGGTGATTGGCGTTCTGGAAAAAATGCAACGACGCGTTCACTCGTCCAAAATGCCGTGCAGCAGCTTGGTGGACTGCAACGACGGTTTCGACATTTCCGCGATCGGGTCACAGCGTTTCAACTATCTGCTCCGGGGCGACGATGTTGACGCCGACGTCGTTGCCGCCGCTACCACCTCAAAGGTCGTAAGCGAAGGAGACGGCTGGGACACGCTAGGCGAAAGCAGCTCTCGCGGGACGTTTCAAGACGCGATGAGTGTTATTATTGTGTAAGCATTTTTATACGTTTTATAATTCATGTTTTTTTATATATAAATAAACGCCTATTAGTTGACATTGTTAAAGAAATAGACATTTGTTGTTTGCTTTTTTTTAGAAATTGACTCATTGACGAAATGTGTCTATAGTTCTGCACGCGCTTGATGTTCAATACATATATTATATAACTAGGCAAATAGCTGTATAATCTGACTTCCCCCGGAAAAAAAAATGAACAAATATAAAATATAGTGTGTTATAGGTTATCTTGATGCAAGTACCTATGTCTATTATACTGTCTACCTCAGTTTACAGACAAATCGGTGTTGGCGTACTTTGGTTTGTAAACTAAAGCGACTAGCAGAGATGGACAATTCACTTTGTCATGGATTGGATATACCATATTATACCTTGGTTCAAACTATTCTCTGAACTTTCCTGAAATTCCTAAGAACAAATTAAAGTTTGTATCAAAATCTGCAGTCGTTTTTGAGTATATAAGCTACAAAATTAAATTCAACTCTCATATTTGTTTTAAGATATAATTTCCATATTCGAATACATAAACTCAAAGATTTGGTGGATGCTTTTACCTCATCTGCACGAGTAACCAACAGCAACTATTTACAATTGTAAAAAAAAATACTAATTTCCACTATTACTATTGTAATCTAGGGTTAATATTTAGGGGTTGATAGGAATAAATGCATATTATAAAAAAACAGTGAATAAGTACACATTTCGATAAAAAAATTAAAAATACATTTTCAATAGAAAAAACGAATAAATGAATATATATCAATATACTCTTTTTACTTCTGTAGATGATAAACCAAGAATTATCTAAGGAAAGTTCTTGTTTGAAAATGTTCAAAAAATTCTCATTGTTCCAATCTCAGTTATTATTGAGAGTAAGTGAGAATTAACCAAAAATAATATTTCATTGTTATAATCTACGGTTTAATTAATTTTTTTAGAAACTACACACTTGATTTAAAAGCGGATCAACAGAAGCAGGTGTCAGGATAATACAATATTTTTAAATTTCACATTTGATTGTCTTAAGAGCATACTTAAATATTTTTCGTGCAATATTTGTATGAGTTTTTTTTAGAATTTTTAAGGTCATAACCAGGGCTTGGAACTTATTTATGCATTTGAATATTTTTTTAGGAAGCTGTATATTAAAAATCTGATTAGAATATTCGATACAAATTCGTTTCATATAGTACAATATATATTATATTGTATATACAATCTAAGTACAAAAATGTATGTTGCATATTTGAATAACTTTATATGCTTTTCAGATTTTGCATTTTTAAAGATTTTAAGCATAAAGATGCATATTATTATTGATTATAAATACTAGGTAATACTAGTATTTATAATCAATGATATTATGTTAGCAATATCGATTTAAAAATAAAGATCCACCTCACACTGTCTATATTTTGAATCATACTATATAAAAAATCGATTGCAATTTATCGACCCTGTAAAAACGATTTATTTTTACCAAGAACTGTGTGGGTACTTGGTAGTATTGTTACTATTTCCTAATGACCAGCCGGGACATACCTTGTACCAGGGGTGGGATGGCAAATCCATGGCACGCTTGCCCGAGGTAGCACGCGAAAAGATTTTTTGGGCACGCGAAAATTTAGAAATCGACGACGCCGCGGGAACTGCTTTTGCATAGCTTCCACGAATATTATAGGACCTATAATAACCTATAAACTAACCTTTTTATACTAATACATTATTTATACAATCAAATTATAGTATAATAAATTATAATATTTTTAATATTTTTTTCATGGCACACTCTAAAAAAAAGGTTATTACTAATTTTGGGCACGCAGTGTTCAAAAGGTTTGCCATCCCTGCCTTATACTAATATTTGAGTACCTAACTGTCGTTTGATGAATACCTTTGTTTAGTGTGTACATGATCGCTTACCGAGTAATATTTATTGTAATTTAAATTTGTATCGATATTATTATATCCCTAAAGAGAAAACATCTTTAAGTAGTCGTTTACATACTTTCGTGGCTGATATTGGTGAAAATGATTTCAGTATTGATTCTAAGGTATTGATTTGCAAATGTTGTGAATCGACAATCGATTCTGAAAGAAGATCCAATGCATGATTTGAACCAAATCATTTGATATCTGCTGTATTAATTGATAGATTTATATTTTTATATTTACAACTGCGAATAACCGAAGAATTTTACTATAAACAAACTACTAACAAAATCTACAAACCAAAAATAAAAGATACAACAACTATCAATATATTAAGTTTATTAAAAAAATTTTTTTTTATTTTTTTTTATTTTAAGCCCTCAGCGACATATTCCATTGGGTTTCTTTTTTTTTTTAGTAGGTATTGTAGGTTTTTGTATTGATGGTTTGTAGGTTTTGGTATACGGTAGGGGGGAACACGTGTGTGTTTGTTTTTGGCAGAATTTCGAATGGGGCACCCGTAGGTTTCTGCCATGCCCCGGGGATGGGGGATGGCAGCACTTGTTCTCCGGTCTCCGCGACTTGTCCGGAGAAAAATGCCGCCCGGTGGCCGAGGATCGAACCGCGACCGGCGTTTATTAAAATATATAATTTATATATTATATATTTATATATATTTACCAACATGTTTACTTTAAAAATAACTGCATATTGTACTACATAATATTGCATATTTAAGTTTATTTTAGGGTACCTATATGTAACTATGCACAGGCCAGGATTAACACTACCGTAGGCCCTAGACCCATGTGCTAATACGGTCCTGTATAGTGTTCAGTATTTAAATGATTAAGAAACCTAATGTTTGGGAGAGATAGTGTTTTTTTATCGTACCGATTTTTTAATTTAATTATGACCGATAAATATTTAATTGCATATGATTGAAAGCAGATTAGTGAAATAGGTACTATATATGCCAAACATTGTGGTGTACTTCGAAATTTCAATTTATGTAAAATCATTTTTTGTTTATATCTACTCGAAAATTGACCAAGTTATTGTGATGAGCGTCTTACATAAAAAAAAAATCAACCGATTAAATAGGTGCATAAACATGTTTCAAAAACATTGGCCAAGCGCCGAGGGTGCAGCAGAAAAGTATAATATAGGTACGCGTATACTTGTCACGAACCGATCGCTCAATTAGAATAGAGCGTCGCTCGTTGGAAATCGAAATTTCAAACACGTATTAAACATGCCACAATTATGTGTACACATAATAATAATTACGGGTTTTTTAATGTAAGGTAAGATGCGCCCACGCCCGTCGCTCGGTAAATTTCGGCGCGTTAAACGCCGTGAGAAAATCAAACACCGGCGCGATCGTAGAATTTGACAGCTATATGTGCCTGTAGATACACACTTTTAGGCACTCGCCCTTATGCACACTCGCAGACCTGCAGCACCCACGACCGCGGGGGGAGATGTCCGTAAAATAACATATATTATAATATGTATAAGAAGCGTATGATGCGTACACGAAAACTTTATACGCGATACAGGTATTTAGCCAGTTTACACATAATATCATGGACAGTGAGACGTGTAAAATAAAGAGAATAATATATATATGAATACAAATGTGTCTATAAAATATATGCTCGAGTGTACATATTATATATATATAGGTATATGTTTTAATATTATAATACAGGTACACGGCCATTAGCGCACACGTATAATATTATCCGTCTGCCCGACGACGTCGGTAAAATCGTCTCAAACGGGTCCCAGCGATTATCGCGTCACCTCCCGCTATATCATACATAATATATATATTTTATACAAGCGTATTATTATATATAGGTAATGTTACAATATTATATACACTCGGGTAACTACAGCACACATACACACACACACACACACACACACACACACATTATTTTATACGCACGTCGGTCGGGCCGTCACGCGCGCGCGTGTGAAAAGAAGAACTCGGGTCCGCGAGATCGTGCTCGGCGATTAGGGTGTTTCGAAACACACTGCGCCGTGTCTCGAATTGACGGCTTGTTTGTGTACCTCATAATAGTTATAATATTATGTGTGTTTGTGTGTTTATAATATATATATATATATATATGAGTGCATACGGTCGCGGTATGTGCAGCGTGAAACCGCTTCCGGAATATAATATTATACGCCACCGCTGTCGGAAAGCTATTGACTCGTTAATGGGCCCGATGAAGAAAAACAAATAAACGAACAAACGAAAGAATAAATAAATACGGCCGCGAAAAACTGTACACGATCGGCGACGCTGCAGCAGACACGCCGGGGTCACCCTTCCCGCGCAATCTAAAGACAAAATTAATATAATTTGAGGTTCCCCCAAACCTATTCCGTGCTTCAAAATATCTCTGGATAAAAATATCACAGTGGTTAAATTAATACACTTATTAACATTGTCTCTATTATTTCATGTGATCATAAACATTATAATATTATTATCGTACTTCAAATTATATTTGGCATTAATCATTACTCTTACTTTATTATTCTATAATAAATTGAATGACGTCCACGGGCTCTTCTATGTTTAAGCGCATATTTTGAAGTCAAGTCATAATATTATTTGAAATAATGTAATGTTTAATTTAAAATTATATTGTGTTTCAAGGTGGGACTACAGTCAATTTTGAATTACTAACCAAAAATACATAGTTTTATTTTTATTTTGTTCTTAGTAAATAAGTGGAAAAAAATAAGATTAAGTGCAATGTTTAAAGAAATTGGAAGAAAATCTATTTGAAATTCTAAGAAAGTATAATTTTAAAACTAAAAACCATATTTTAAATTAAAACTAATGATTAAATAAGACTAGGTCCACATGATAGCGCATTTATCTTTATTACGATCATTCACATGGACACAAATGCGGAACATTTTTGTTCATACAAAAATTTCAGCCATATAGCATCTCAAATAAACCATAGTCTGTATTATACATTCAACGAGACTGGACTTGTCAGATGCCGTGTATTTGTGGGTCACATATCGAAGAATGAGAAGACGAAGACAAAAAGAA